TGTGCTCTTCCGATCTCTGTTTCTAGCAAAATTTTTAGACTTCAAAAATTCCTTTTTTCCGTGTGCAGGAGAGAAATGATGTATATATTACACGTATATACATGCAATGCGAGATTAAATTGAAAAATTAAATTAAACTAAAAGAGAGTTGAGATTTAAAAAGAGTGCACGATTTATCATAACTTCTTATCTGATATAACTTTACACTAAGTTTCCATGTGCTCGGATTGTTGCGTTACAGTAGCAACAAGGGGCATTTTGTAACCATTCCACGGATACCGGTAGACATCCGGCGCACCTGCGAGACGCATGGAAATCGCATGGGCATTTGAACTTGGAAACGTATTCATAGAATTCTCGTGCTCTCCATCTTTCCCTCCAGTTTGCGCAAATATTCTTCCGCTTCGCGCTTTGTTCCAATCCACAAATAGAGCAGATAAGAGAAAAGAAACACATGTCAAACGTTCGATCGAAAACAGTGGAAGCCGACGCACCAGTCACAAACGACGTGAAATAACGCAAACCCCCGAGAGAAGCGGTACACTGCCGCCATTTGTCGTTTATATCGTTTTCGCGCGAGCTGTGGAACAGAATAAGCAACGAAAGAACGATAACTTCGCAAAAAAAACAAAAAATAAAAATGTAAAAAAATTGGTGTATGACATGTGAGAGATGACACGAGAGCTACGAAACGATGGATTACGAGAGTAAATACAAAAGAATTAGTAAAATTATAATGTTCAACATAAAAATGTATGACTCGATTTTTTTGCGCCTGAAATATTTAGAGTGTCGAGTCACCCTGTGAAAGTAGAGCGATGCTGCGGATATTCGAGGAACCGAGTCCGGAAATTCGTTCGTTAAACCGCCTGCATCATTCAAGTATAATCTTCCGGAATCACTTTCTGTTTTCTATAATTCAACCTCGTACTTGTCGGAATGTTCATGCGCCTCTCTCGGCGCCAGTAAGTAACAACCTTCGCACCCATTGTCCGGGTAGGAGAATCCTGACGCGAGGTGGTCGGTGGTATACGAGGCGTTTCGTGGATTCATTGCGACGCATTCCACGTCGAACTATTCGTCTTGCCAGGTGGCGTGCAATTTGGCGAACCCGGGGACACGACAGCCGGAAATCCGGACGCCTCGGCCACAGTCAGCGCCACGAAGAGACACCTTGAGGAGGTTGCGAAATCTTGGCGCCTCCGTAGTCTCGCGACTTTAAATCCGCACAATGTATTAAAGTATTGTAGTTTAAACTATTTTAATACACGCTGTTATAATCGCGTTCCAAATACCCATTATTTTTATTTCGAGAATTTCCGCGAAATTTTGCAATATTTTCGAGCCATGTTACTCATTCAATACGTTTTTTCCCTTTGTTTCTATTGTTTTCACGTCGTGCGCAACAACAGTGTTTTTTTCGTTAATTTGTAGAAAAATGAGAAATTTTCTTACTTTTTAATTTAAATCGTCAGTTTGTACAGAATGATTACGCGAAACAAGCAATTTTCGAAAATCAAGCCTCGAAACAAGTCGGACGTTAATTTCACGAGGCGAACGCGCTCGTCAAGCTAATTCCGTACGCGTGCGCCACGTTAACGTTTCACACGAGTGTTGTAAAGCTCCCTGCGAGGTGTTCTCCGCGTCACCTGGTCCACTTTGTCCCCTGTTACTATCGAACGAAAATCCGGCTTGGAAACTTTCCTGTTGCGATGCTCTCTGCACAATCGGCTTTCTCCGTTCTTCGGGTACGTTTGTCCGCACGGATGAACAGCATACGGTGACCGACGGAGGTCTCGTTTTTGCATGCCGACTCCTCCTGTTTGTCCTCGTTTGAAATAAGGATTCCCGGATTGGAGGGTCGATGTTACCTGCTCGAACTCAACTACGTACTAGGGCGAAATCTTTTTTTTTTCTCCCTCCTATTCCCCGCTGCCTTCTCTTGTTTGTTTCTGTCTGGTTCTCGATTCGTTCGGACCGATGGGAGTACGTCAGGTGTTCCGCCTATAATCCCCCGAACTAAGCACGAATGTAACTGCCAGGGATAGTTGATCCTGCCCGATAGCATGGCCATGTTTCTCTGAACCGCACTTGACCTGCCTTCCATTTTTAGGAGTTATCGATTTTTATTTATAATCACGATTAAAGGGAGCGGCGTTATTTTAAAGATTAGCGCGCGGAAAGGATTTTCTAAAGATTTTCCTGCGCCGATACATCGATTTGATAGACATCGTTGACGATAGAACGGATACGCTCGATGGTAACATTGCGGGTTCTGTGCTTGCGGGCAAAATTCGTCAGGCTTATTACAAGATAATTGGTAGTCGCTTCATCGACTCGTTATCAGTCCGAGGCGCAATTCGAAAACCGTGTTAGCGATGTACGTCGATGGACTGGACGATTATTCGTCCATTATCATCGCGTACATGCTCTCGTCCCGGTGTCTGGATTACAATACCAAATGATAGCCATCAGAAATGCACGACAGAACTTCGCAACAGCCCTTGGTCGCCCGCGTGGGTAGGGGATCGGATTTACGTGCCGTACGGGATACGTAGATCGCCATCTGCGAGTGTGTTTGCGACGACGTTAACACGAAACACGTTCACGTTCACGTTTCCGTTTTCCACCCGTCGTACCCTCACCGTCGGCAATTCGACGGGAAGACAGGCACTGCGTGGCACTGCGAAAGGGGCGGCCCGTTCGTACCAGAGTTTTCAAAGACGAAAACGTACCTATGTACGTATGTAAATATAATAATACATAAAACCGCGTTTTA